GGGCAATGCCTCCTGCAGAAATGTTGGAACTGAGATTTCCTATTCTTCATCTCATGTCATTGTTTACTTTGTTTCACTTGTTTCACACTGTGACTTCCCACTATTAGCAAAAAAAAAAAAAAAACCCTTCAGCTCATGCCTGCTCTGGGGCTAGAGATGGGTCAGTAGTTAAGAGCCTTTACCGCTCTTCAACAAGACCCGAGTTCAGTTCCCAGCACCCATGGGAGGCAGCTCACAGCCACCTCCAGCTGTAGCTCCGAGGGTTCAATGCAATCTCTGACCACTGTGGGCACGACACTCCCATGGCATACACTTGTGGAACATACACACACCACTTAAAACTAAAATCTTTATGAAAAATAAGGCGAGTGATTGAGGAAGACACCTGAACAGACAAGACACCTGAACAGACCTCTAGTCTCCCACGCGTGCGCGCACACGCGTACACACACACACACACACACACACACACACACACACAAATATGTATCTATACCTCCCTCTACACACACAAACATGTTTCAGCTTACAAATCCCATGCTTTATGCTAGAAGAAGTCAAGGAAAAACATTTTTTTGAAGGGTTGGCTCTTGTCCCCTCCCTATGATTCAGTTCCTGAACAATAAAATCCATGCATCCAGTTCAGTTTGGAATGACTTCCCGGGCTTGTCCTTAAGCATGCAGAGTTTATACAGTGTTCTGAAGGTATAAACACATCCTTATAAGACTTCACTGCTTTTATAGATGAACTGAAGGCCCAGAAAACTAGCTGGGAGTGACAGAATGAATAGTAGTGTTCCGATCTTTTTCCTCTGCAATGCTGTGCTTCTCTACATTGAATGGAGCTTTTAAGATTAATACCAACCTTGCTTGGAGTGTGGGCCTGTGTTTCAGTCTTCAGGATGGAGAGAAAATATATAACAACATGAGCTAAAGTGGTCTGGATCCACTGGGAACCATGGTCTCCCAGCTTTTTCCAGGCTGGGCTCAGAGAATACCAAATCTCCATAGGTTCTCCTGCATCTCTTGTGATTTCAAAGTAAGTCCCCTTTTCCTCTGACTCAGTCCCACTGACAAAGCACAGTTCTCTTTGTCTTCTTCATATCATTTTCTCTGTGCTTTTATCTTCTACTCATCTTCCTTCCACAATCATACAATGTGAAGAGTTTCCAGTAAAGATTTTTAGAGTTCTTGATGGATATGCTGTTGCTTGACTGTAGCAACACTTTCATTATGTATATGTGTGTCAAGTATTATGTTGTAATGCCTTCAATGTGTAATGAAAGCTGAAACTAATATATATATATATATATATATATATATATATATATATATATATACATTGTGTTCGTATATGAAATTTCAAAGAATAAATAAATAAATAAGTATGGTGCTCCAATCCAACAGAAGGCAGGAGCCAAAAATCTTTGCCTTTCACCAGAGATTCTTGGTGGAATCTGGAATCAGCTTAATGGGTATTTCTTTCTCTTGTCTTTTCTTCTTTTTTTGGTCTCTCTGTCTCTCTGTGTGTCTCTGTCTGTCTGTGTCTTTCTCTGTGTGGTGTGTGTGTGTGTGTGTGTGTGTGTGTGTGTGTGTGTGTGTGTGTGTGTGTGTGCAGGTGCCTGCAGAGACCAGAAGAGGGCATCAGATTGCCTGGGGCTGCACTACAGCTTTACATGGGTTCTGGGTTCAAATCTCAGGTCCTAGTACTTGTAAACTACCTCCCCAGCCCCTTCTCTTGGTTCTTGTTAGTTCTAGTTGTTCAGTAGCTCATATTTTGTACCTGGTATGTCAAAGGAGGAAAATGGTCTCTGAACAGATACAGTCTCCAACTTATCATAGGGTAAAAGGGAAAGAAATCCACCATGACCCTGAAACCAGAGCCAGTGTAAGAAACATACCCTGAAACTAGAGCTAAAAGGTTAAAAGGGGCCAGTGAAAGAAACATACTTTGGCCCTGAAACCAGAGCCCCTGACCAACTCAGCACAAAACCAACCAATTCCTGAGCAGGAAAACCACCGATCCCTGAGCCAGTCTCTGAGCTTGTCAAGCTCAGGGGATTGAAATTTGACCAATTCCCACCCGGAAAATCTTCTCCCTGGAAAAACCCCACCCCTAAGAAGCCCTATATAAGCCCTGTGCCTGTTCAGCTGGCAGCTGTCCTTCTCCACCCTGGCAGAGGCAGCCACTCTCCTGGATTCCTCCTTTCTCAATAAAGCTCTTGAAAGAGTTTGGGGTGAAGACTTTCTTTTCCTCCAGAGCAGAATCTCCGCTGGGCTCCCGCTTAAGGGATCTCCCTTAAGGGAGCGGAACAGAAGTAACAACTTTTTGCCAGAACCAGAACAGATTGCTACATTTCTGCTGCCGCCGCCCCCCCCCCCACCACCACCACCAGCAGAGTGAAGCAAAGAACAGAGAAGTCACAATTGGCCAGAGCTGAGAAGAAAGGGGCATCTCTGTTGGGAAACTCCCTAGTGGAGTGGAGCAGAGCTCAGCTATAATGGTTCTCTCACACACAAACTGTAGGTATTGTTTGACTTCTGGCAGTCAGGGTACCTGTCCCTCCAGAGCTGTAACACTTGCACTTACGAGGGTTTAAGATTTCTCAGTTTCACAGCTCACAATGGAGCAAAAGCAATCTACATCCAGGAGAAACATCCCGTTTCTCCTGAGTTTTCCTCCACCCCTAATAGCTTGATCCCCTCTTACCATGCTGAATGGTGGCTGTACAGATTAGGTTCATTAAAAGCACCTTCGGGGCTGGGGCTAGAGTAGTTGACTGGCATGCATGAACTCCTGAGTTCCATCACGTAAACCAGGCACGATGGCAGGTGCCTGAAATCTTAACACTAGAGAGGTAGAGTGACCAGGTTTAGAAGTCCAAGGTGATCCTCTGCTAAGTAAAGAGTTCAGTGCAAACCTGGAATACATTGACACCCTGTCTCAAAGGGGGGGGGGCAATGATGATGGGGCTCAGTGGATAAAGAAACTGCTATCCTAGAGCAATAACCTGAGTTCAAATCCCCAGAATCCATATAGAAGCTGGAGCAGTAGCATGCATATCTGTAATTCCATAGCTCCTGTGCTGAAGTGGGCAGCAGAGACAAGAAAACCCCCGAAACTGGCAGGCCAGCTAGCCTGACTTCCACAGCAGGGACACTAGAGATCTGTCTCTGACAAAGTAGAAGGTGGAATGTTGTGGAATATTAATTTAAGATATGTTACATTCATTTGTATTGTGGAATATTTGTTTAATGATGCAAAGATATGTTACATTTGTTTGATTAAATAAGCAACTAGCTGACAGGAAATGGTAGGGAAGAACCAGGTGTAGCTAGGGTTCTTAAGTGGGGACTGAGCAGAAGGACACCCTGTTTGCGGGGGAGATGTGAGCTAGGAGGGAAGTTGGCTAGTTGCTGGCTATTCAGCCTCTCTGAGGGAGCAGAATTTCACCTCAACCTCTGAATCCTAATCTCTACAGAAGGTTAGAGCTCTAGATAAAGTTCCCTTTAGCGGCTGTGATAGAGCCTGTGCCTGAGGGACCAGAGTTCCCGCCTGGCTGCGGTCAGTGCGGCTGAACAGCTCTGGTAGCTGCAAAGCTGCAGTTGCTGATGAGGACAGCAGTTGCTTACGGGGCGGCTACTGAATTTAATGGAAACAGTGGAGATGGGTGCCTGCGGTTATTCTGGAAATATGGACACTGAAGGCATACATGCAGGGACTGGGGGGCTGCTCAGACACTTCCAACTTACAGGTTTATTGGATATAACCCACCAAAAATCAAGGATCATTTGCTTCATCATGGGAGTGGGAGTTTTAAAAACGCATTAATGACATACAATCTTCACTGACTACGAACTTAACAGAAACAAACACAAGGTACCATGGACAGACAACACAACAATGCACAGGCACCCTTTTCCCCTCCTCCGTACAGTGTGAAATGCTGGGAGCTGGTTTGATCCTGAACATTTCCTCTGAGCTCTGATGCTCCCTGAACCCACATCAACTCCTTCCCCAAGCCTCAGCCAAGTGAAGACCTTCATATGCAGATGCCTGGGCCCCTGCCAGCTCTCCAGTAGGTGTTTACAGCATGTCAGATAGTTCTCTGGACACACAAGGAGGAGACAGAGGAAACTGACAAGCTTCCAAGTGCTTCTGTGGATTAAGACAATCTGCTCAGACAGTTTAAGCAAATTCAGTATGGTGAGCTGAGGGTACCAACAGCAAAAATACAACATGTAAATACAACTAGCATGTTACTAGATGGTGGAGTTCCCTTCTTATGCATCACCATAAGAAAAAAATTCAAAAAATAACTCAGAAGCTTAAGGACCATTTTATTACCATTTGAAAGAAAAAATAGGGCAGGCAAGCTAAAACTCTCAGCAGCTTGGAAGAAGAAGGAAAGGTAAGAAACAATCGTGCCCTTTTGACTTTGGGTCCAAAAGAGCAATGGATAGAATCAGTGCAAGCATGCTCAGGACTTTGGGTGGCATCCAGAGAACATATAGAAAGGGCAGCATGCTTTCAGGTTCAGGTTTCGTTAAATATATGCTTTGGGCAGATTAGAAAGTTATGTCTCTGCCCAAGGCCAGAGGTAGAACTCAGATTCTATTCTTGTCCAGAAAGATAGCTTTCCCTTAATGAACCTCAAAATAACCCTGCTTTCTTCACACACTTTCATGTGGTATTTTAAATTTTGATTTGAGGGGCAATTATGCTTCCTTTTCCTGAAATTGGTGTTACCAGGGAAATGAGTGGTAGGGTCTAAAGCTGGCCCTCCATGAGGATAACAGGTAACAAATAAATTAAAACAGTGCCCTCCTTAACAGCTGCATGGGGGACTCCTTTTCTTTTCTTTTCTTTTTCTTTTCTTTTTTTTCTAGGTTCTGGAAGTTGTCAGCAAACTGACTTATTAGATACATCATTTCTCCAAATCTCTATCATTGTAGATATTCCCTGTCTCTGTCTACTTCATTATAAGATTAGTGAGCAGTCTTTATGATCAATTTTATTGTAAAAGCTTGAAAAGTACATTTGGGAAGCACCTTTAATCTACCTATCATTATGGCATACAGGAGCAGGGCAGGGACATGCTTCAGTCTAACAGGATCCTAGGCAGGCAGAAGGGTGTCTGTCTTCCAGCTTGCTTTCAGGCCTTGAATCCTTTGCTTTGGAAGGCTACTCTCTTGCCGACATCCCTGCTGAAGGGAATCCAGCTGAAGACCCCTGGGGCATTTGTTGCCTTTCTCCTGGCTCCACCCAGCCTCTGGGCTTCCTGTGTGGGTCCCTCTCAGCAGCTGTTTGAGTCCACTCAAGAATGACCCCCAATGCCATGACCTCATAATTCACAGGACCTCAGGGCCCCTGGCTGGCCCCTGGCTGGCCCCTGGCTGGCCTCTGGCTAGCCTCTGGCTTCCTGTCTTTTCCTGGATACCTCCATCTGGGGCCTGACCCTTCTCTTCTCAGATGGCAGACAGCAGAAGGCCCGTAATAGACCGGCCCCAATCCTCCTTGCCCACCTCTTCCAGCTTCTCCACGCACCTTGGATTGTGTCTGCAGTGCCACTGTGCTGTGTCCCTGTGGGGTCCCCGACAGCACCATGAGTTGGTGTCCTCTTCTGCAGGCAGTGGTGGGGGGCAATTATAGGCATAGTGGCATTTCTTCTGAGCCTCCGCCGTATCTGCTGGCTGTCCTTTGCAGAGTCAGTTTTCAAGGATAATGAGAGAAAGGATTGAAGAAGGGCTGGCACATCAGTTGTCCTCTTTCGGCACCCAGGGAAGGCGACAGGATCTGTGGGCGTGGGAAAAGGTGTTGTTCCTGGTCGCACTGCCTTGGTTTGCCTAATGAAGTCACCCTGCTGGCGTGCCTGGCATTGCAGTAGACCGTAGGTTGCCATGGGCTCATTGAACAACCTATGGAGTACAGATTTCCGGATGTCACGTGGGTCGAATCCCATCTCTGCCATGGCTGCCATGATTGCAGGGTCCGGGTGGCTAGGGCTCATTTCCTCACATGGGCTTGATGAACCCTCACCTCCTTTCCTAAGCCAAGGATGCCCCATAATGTCCTTTAGTGTTGGTCTCTCCGTAGGGTTTACAGTTAATAAGCGGTGGATAATGTCCTGTAGCTCTTGTGAGAGGTGGGAGGGAACCGCATACAATCCTAGTAAAACCTTGCACTGAAGCTCTTCATAGGTGGAACCATCAAACGGCAGGGTCCCGGTCACCATAAAATATAGGAGAATACCTAAGTTCCAAGTATCCACTTTGGTGCCATCATAGGGTTGGCGCAGGAAGAATTCTGGGGCACCAAATCGTAAGGCACCGCAAAACCTAAAAAGCTTCCTCCCGGGTCTGATTAAGGCACCCAGGCCAAAGTCTATAATTTTGACTTTGCCAGTAGCATCCACCATAATGTTGTCTGGTTTGAGGTCTCTGTGCACTATGCCTTGGTCATGGCAATAGCACATGGCATGCACGATCTGTTGGAATATCTTTCGGGCTATGTCTTCCTCCAGGTAGCCAACTTGTTGAATCCAGTCCCACAGCTCGCGTCCCTCAGCCAGTTCCAAGATCAGAAAGATGTTCTGTTCTGTTTCAATAATCTGGAGCAGTGAGATGATATTGGGATGGTTCATCCTCTTCATTATCCCCACTTCAGACCAAACCGGGAAGGTCCGTTGCTTCCGCTTCAGCAGGACTTTTATTGCCACTTCAGCGCCTGTGAGGCGGTGCTGGGCTAGCTTCACCTCGGCATAGCTTCCCTGACCTATGGTCCTCAGGATGGTATACTGTGCCAGGAGAGTCTCATACCAGAGGATGGGCACAGGGCTGGGCCCTGTTGTCAACTCATCCTTTGGGCCATACATTATTGGTAGCAAGGCTACCCAAATAATTAAACAAATAAATAAAATTTAAGATTAAAATGAAAATAAAATTTCAAAAATTAAAACAAAATCCCCCACTCTAACACACACACACACACACACACACACACACACACACACACACACACACCATACACCAAGAAAATAAAAACCAAAAAAACAAAACACCCCAAAGCAAAGCACACACACACACACACACACACAAAAAAAAATCCACTATGTATCAGTCAAATTTCACTAAACACTGCACCAACCAGAACGCCTCTCAAAACACCTACAGAAAGCCAACCTAGTTCATCCTCCCTTATACCTGCTGGTTCAGACTTCCTCACAATGGCCCCTCCTCATGAGGTCATATTAGGACAGGGACCAATTACTATGGGCACAGTTCATAGTAAGGGAAAGTAGTCAAGACTCTGACTTAGGTAGGCTTAGGAGATTGACATTTGAGCTTTTAGAAATGTAAGTGTTAATATCCTCTTGGTTTCTAGTTTGGAAGTCTCTAATACCCTCTGTTTTCAAGACCTCTTGCCCCCTCCATTCACCGTTACACAATTTCTTTCAAATCTGACTAGTTGGTTGCAAACTATTGTTACCACTTAACTGATATAATATTGTTTATAAAATTTAATATAGTAATGTGTTCCCTATGAAGCTAATCTTAAGATACCTTTTATATTTTTAAATACGTGTAATAGTATACCATGACTCTTTCACACTCTATGAGGTGACAACATCTTTTCCATCACCAGTGCAGTGGCAGCTCACCATGGCAGCAGCTGCCTTGACATTAACCACCACATTATGGATGACCCTGAAGAGCATCAAAAGCCCTATAGAATAGAGTGTCAGCATGGCACCTTGATCGTCAATATCCACAGTCCTCTTCAGCTGATGTTTGATCATGTTGAGAAGGGTGTATCCTGCCCTTGGGATACAAGGCTGTCTCGAAGCTGTTCACCATGTTGCTTCTGTCTTGAATCCTCACTGATTTTCCCCTTGTGCAGCCCTAGATCTGTCTTTTTGGTATAGTGGCTACTTCTGCCTTTAGTGACTGGATTTTATATAACAGAACTGGGCAGTTATTTGGGGTTTGCCTGTTGTTTTTTACAGTGCCTTTATTTAGTCCCCAAATCATCATACACCCCAAAAGCTCCCATTGTGAAAAAAAAACACATTTTTTGTTTCTATTTCATTAAGTTTTCAAGTTTTTCTCAAGAGTATGTGTTCTAGGTAGCATGTATTCCTCTCCTGCCTCATTCTTCCTATCCTTCCTTTTCTTTCTCCCCCAGTCCCTTTTGTTCACCTAGACAATTTCACTCCACTTCTACCTAATCCATATATATATGACTTTATGTGACTATATAAAATTTAGGAAAAATGTGCTAGGTTTGTCTTTCTGAGACTGAGTGCCTTTCCTGATCTATCTCCAGTATACACAGATGACAAAACACTGTTCTTTAGGACTGAAATTTAGGGCTGAAATGTAGAATACATTCCTTATCCACTCTTCCGTTATTGGACACCTGGGCTAATTCTGTACCTCTGCTACTGTGAATAATGCTGCAATAATCATCGATATGCAAGCGTCTCTCTGATACAGTGACTTTGTGGTCTTTGGAGTAAATGCCTGGAGGGTAGCTGGGTCAAATGGAAGTGCTGTTGTTTTCTGAGAAACCTCCATATTGGTTCCAATAAAAATACAAATCCTGTATTTCCTTTTGTTCACAGCCACACAAGCATTTCCCATTATTTGTCTTCCATTCTGACTGGGGCAAAGGATAATCTCAATGTGGTTTTAATTTGCAATTTTATAGCTAGTGAAGTTATACATGTTTTCATGTGTGTGCTTGCTGGCTATTTGAATTTCCTCTTTTCTGAACTGTCCACTGAATAAGCCCACTTGTTGACTGGTCTGTTCTCTTATTGCTTGGATGTAGAGCTGCTCAAGATTTTCTCTCATTCTGTTCATTGTTTCTTTTGCTGTGTAGAGGCAAAGCTCACTCTTCTAAGCAGAGCCATTTATTTAAACCCTTTCTGAGGCAATGAGACTGCATCTTGGTTTGGTAATATTTGCAGAAACCTTACCTAGAAACATGATAACAGTCAAAAGTTTCAAGGAGAAATTCATTTGGAGGCTACATAATGCCACACAATACACACATTTTACACTGCTCTGGGAGTCTGTTGTTCATTTGTTAGAAACTTTTCTTATAGCAGCAGTGCTAGCAAAGGTAAAATGAGCTGAAAGTGGAAGAGACAGAAGTTGTCTGTGATGCTTCAAATCTTAACAACTTGACTTTAGTGAGAGATGCTGAGAAGATTGGGAAAGCACCCTTCTGAGTGTATCTCAGAGGGGGTTTCCAGAGATGACTGGCATATGGGACAGAAACATAGTGTAGAAGACCTGACTGTAGACAACATTACCCTGCAAGTGAGGGACTTGGATGAAAGGGAAAGGAAGAAAAGAGTGTGGGCTCCTATGTCTTCTCTGCCTCCTTCCTAGCCATGATGAACCAGCAGCTCTTCACCAGCTCTTCTCCTGTGAAGGCTCATCTGTTCACCTCACTACCAGCCAGCAGCTCTCTGAAACCATAAACCAAAGTAACATTTTCCTCCTTTTGATTGGTTTTTGGTCATGTGTTCTGTCACCAAGATTAGAAATTCACAATTTGAAACTGAACACTTCAGTTTGCCTGAACTCAGCTACAGGCAGAGTCGGAAGTGAATGAAAGATTAGGTGGGAAGGAAAACAAACAGATGTGCTGCAGAAGAGACTGTTCCACCCAACATGCTAGAAAAAGTGGGGACCAGGGAGGAGTTATTCTCAAGAGCAAGGGCTGGGAGGCAGAATGCAACCCACAAATCCTGCTCCACCCCAGCCATCCATGTGCTACTTCTAAGGGTGCTTTGACATCCCACTTCCTAGGGCATCTGTCCACATGTAACAGCCTTAACACTGCTCTATGCACACACAGGCACATGACAATGCTGGAAGAACCCGTCCACGCAGTGTTAGAAAACCTAACTGTTAAAGCTCTTATTAGAAAGCTGGATGGGAATCAAACCCCACCATAGTTAATTAGCTTCTGTGCCTCCTTGACTGCGCCACTGCGGAATCTTTTGGCTACAAAGCACAAACTGGACTGTAGACAACACTGCAGCCGTACGCACGGTGAAAGGGAATCAGAGACGAGGACGTCAGTGCTGGACGACGGTGCAGGGCCGGGCTCTCACGAGAGCACAAGGGCCTGAGAGAGCCAAAGGCACAACTCCTTTTTTTCTTAATTACTGCCCTGACACTGCAGCCCAGGAACAGAAAATCAAGCATCATTTTCTTACCTAACCCCATGGTGATACTCCCCAAGAGTTCGTCATCACTCACAGCATAAAATAGAGCATATTTTTTTATTTTCTCCTACTCTATATCCCTGCATGTCTTTGTCCGGTAATATTTGACCAGTCAATGAAGCAATGAAACTTAAAAGATTTTAGTGTTTGTTTTATAATTTAAAAACTAAACAAAACAAAAACTCTAGTCCTTTGGAGAGATATTTATCCCATTCTTCACACACATTTGAACATTCATCATTATGGAGATTGTTCAAATGTTGCTAAACACTCTAAGATTACACATAAAAAAGAATATATGTAATTTTTTTGTTTGTGAGATTTCTTTGAGACTTTGAGATTTCTCCTGTAGCCTAAGTTGGATTCAAATTTACTTTGAAGCTGAGGCTAACTTTCCTTCCACTTCCTGCCTCTACTTCTCCAATAGAATTACAGGCATGTGTCACCAAGTTCAGACCACACACACTGTTTTATGCTTCCATTGTCTCTGTGGTATCAACTCATATGATCCACACAACCACTCATTCAGTTATTTACCATGCCCATTTCAGACTCAAAAGGACTGACGCGGAGGAAATGTGGTGGGCTTGCCCAAATAATACCACAATATGGAAATAGCTCACCTGAAATTTCAAGGGCAAAGCCTCTCTTCTTTCCCCAGGTCTCCTATTTGCCATATTACAAGTCCAAACACAATCTATAACAGGCACACACTTCTCTAGAAAGGAGAAGAAGTTGTTTTGAAAAATATATTGGTGAAAATTATGTATTTGGAGCGTTTTGAAACTCAAAAAAAAATTAGTCTACTCAGAGAGGGAAAAAAATCACAGTGACACATGGCAAGTGTGGAGGAAAAAAAATCTAACAAACGTATAGTATAAAAAATCCATTGGTCTATTATGATTTTGATCTAAAGTGTTCCTCTCAAATACCACGTGACTGAAGGTCCCCCCATGCAGCAGTGTTAAGGGTGGTGTTTTTAGAGGGCGATTAGATCTTGGAGACTCCGACCTCATCAATGGACTAATAAATTAATAGATTCTTAATTTGGTGGAATTACTGGGAAGTAAGTAGCAGAAACTTTAGAAAGTGGGGCCTATTTGAAGGAAGTAGGTCACTGGGTATACCCTAAAGGGCGTCCTTCCTCTAGCTCTCAGCCTCCTGTCTGCTATGGCATGACCCACTCTGCTCCACCTCACCGTGGACCCAGAGTCAGTGGAACCAGGTGAAGATAAACTCACACCTCTGTTTTTGTCAGGTACTTTGTTACTGGGATGGATGGAAAACTGACTCAACATAACCACCTTTGTTGAAACGAGCACAGAATTGATAAAGGTCTAGACTATCTTATGTAGTAATAGCAGCAATGTCGAGACCAATGGTTCTCTACCAAGAGTGATGGTTGTCACAGTGATGGGAAGAGTGTCAAGTTGTCCAGAAATACAGAGAGGCCAGGGATGTAGCTAAACATCCTTGATAAACACAAAGCTGATGCTTGATGCCTAGTAAGTAATAGTACTCAATAGATTAACATGGTCACCCCAAGAATATTGCCCTTGCATTGCCCATTGTATCTCTAGAAACAATTCATAAGCCAAAGAAAACTGGGGGAGTCTCCAGGCTTAACTGGGAGACGTGGCTGGCTGGTACACGAAACGAGGTCCCAGGGAGCCTCTGCTGGCTTTCTATCCTGTGAAGTGGTGGTCTTATTTTATATAAGCATCAGTCATGGGAGAGTGTCCAATCAGATTTCTTTTTCAAAGCTTCTTGGACCCCAAATGGATCAGAACATTGGCAAGCTTACCAATTATGTTCTCTGAGATAAAAATCATCCTGTCCCTCATAGAAATCATAGGTGATCCAAAGAAAAATCAAGATGACAGGAGCCTCTTTGTACTTTTACATTTA